GTGCCCCGAAATCCAATTGGGACGGCTCACCGATGTTAGCTGCCATAAATTTTATTTATTTATGTGTGCACCGTTTTGTTTTCCGCTCTGCTCTGGTCTGGGAAACGGGAAAGGGAACGGGAAAGGGAAACGGGAACGAGTAGTATATCGGCCCGAAAATCGACCATGAATATCAATGGGGGGAATTGTGCGTCATCGGCACGCGCCGGCTTCATCCGATACAGTGACTGTATGGCTTAGCCTTGCCTCCAATCTTGGCCCAGACGGTCGTCCTTTGGTGGGCTTTTGGGTTTGAGGGGGAGGGTTTTCGGGTGTTCCATTGATATTGTTTTTATCAGCCAGACGAGGGAGACCTGGAGACCTGGACGCGGACCTTAAGCACTTGTGCTCCTGATGCGTATTTAATTTTATTTTATTTGGGATTTCTCACATCGCAGGGGAAGTAAATCACGGCAGTCTTGGTATTTTTTTCCAAACCAAAATCGAAAAGTATGGCCCTTTTTTTTGGGGGTTGTGGTGGTGGTCGATCCTTATGGACCAGGATTCGATATCGACACTATAAACATATGTGTGCAGATGTGTGTATTTTCCGGCTTACACTTGTCCCATCGAAGAAAACGAAGAAAACAGGGAAAAAGTGACATCGAGTGCTGAGTGTTGATTGTTCGTCATTGGCACAGAAGATAAATGAGTGTCTACCCTCGGCGGCAAAAGCAACAGCAACAGAAACAGCAGCTGAAGCTTTCGTATTAAATTCATGAAAGTTAAGTGCTTGGTAATTGATGTTATAAAATATTTATGACAGACAGCCCAACAGCAGGCAGTTCCGTTGGCAGAACAGGTAGGCGAGTAAGAGTTCACACCGCTTTAAGCGTCGCAATCGTCCTGAGTCCTTCGGGCGGACTGATGGCCAAAGTTAGATTTGGTCCTAATTGACATTAATTATTTAAAAGGACGTCGTGCGATTCCTTCGACCTAAGAGCAGCTCTTTTCCCTGTGAGCCCTTAAAGTGTATCAAATAACGGGAAGGGAAGCTAAGCCGAAGTTTAAGTACCCTTGCAGATACAAATGTAGCAAATTTATTTGATCGTTGAGAACCATAAAACCATACGGCCAGTTTTACAAATGTATAGTAGCTTTTCGATATAGTTACCTTATTTCACATATATAAAAAAAAACGATTGCGAAAGTTGTAAGTCTCAAGCTTTTATACCAAGAAAGCAATATCATGTCGATCGGAAATATCTTCTTTAGTTCGTTACAAACTTCTGACCAAAATTATAATAACCTTTCAAATCAACCCGTAGTCGATAGTTTAGGTACCCATCTGCATAAAACAGTCATTCTTTTGGTTGTGGCTCCTATTTTGACTGAGTTAAGACAAAAACCCCTGAAAAATGTTGTTTAGGGAAAAAACTCCGAAAAATCCACTTTAGTTTTGGTTTTTAAATCAAAACCCGGAGAAATAATGTTCTAATGTTGGAATGTCATACCTCATTGAATTCGTTATAAAATTTCTGATCGATTGGCATTCACAGTTCAAAAATTAAAATTTGGTCCAGTTTTCGCAAAAAAGAATGAATGAAAAATTCGAAAATCGGTAAAAAATAAATTCTTTCAAATCAACCTGAAATTGATAGTTTAGGTCTTTAGATGCACAAAAAAGTCATTCTTTTGTCTGTGTGTCTTATTTTGGATAAGTTTTGGCGAAAAAGGTCGAAAAAATCAACTCATTTTTTGTTTTTTTGTTTAAAACCCTGGAAAATAATTGTCCAGTGTTGGAATATTATACCTTGTTGCATGAGTTATAAATTTTCCAAATCAATTGGCGTTGACAGCTAAACAATTTTTATGTCATACAGTTGCTAAATATCACGATTCAATCCAAACATGCAATTATAATGGATTTCTAGGAATCCATTATTGCTAAAAAAAACAATAGGGTACCACTTTTACTCTTTGGATTACAATATTAACCTTACCTTGAAAACGTTAAGAAATAAAATAAAAATATATAATTTCGAATTCAATTTAAAAATACTTAGTTAATGATTCATAAGGTCAATAATTTTGTATGCTCATTTTTAAAAATACTTAGTTAATGATTCATAAGGTCAATAATTTCCTATGCTCATTTTTGTGATCTACTTATCTCAGTGTACTCCATTCATTTCGACACCCCAGCCAGACGGCACTCAGGTTTTCGGCTTTGCTCACTTGACCGGGCAAAAAGCATCGCCCAACTGATAATGATGCTGTTGGCGACTTTGTGTTTGCTTATGCCGGTAGCCTTGTGCCCTGGTCCACAGTCCTTGGCCCTTGGTCCTTGGTCCTTGGTCATTGCAAGGGCTGGCTTTGATGTTTTGCCAGGATGATGAATTATATTTGACATCTATGTGCTTGGCACCCCCCACTCCTCTGGTATTAACATGTGTGTATCCTGCCACATTGGTACTAGTTAGGGGTATGGGAATGGGTATGGGTACTCGTGCATGCGCAGCAAAGAACCACCCACCGATCCACCCACACTCGTGTGATGAGAGCCGCTCTTGGATATGTTTATTTTACTGTCAAAACATTAAAGTAAACTCCCGCCGAAGCCGCCGCACAGGGTTGATTGTTATCAGGGGGCGGTGTCGACAGCGGTGGGTATTTCATCGAGGGTGGAAAACCCGCTGCAGTCACGTGGTTCTCGGTATTTGGTCCTTGGTCCCTGGTCCTTTCGGCCACCTTCATTTCGACTCCGCAGACAAGTCTATTTGCATATGTTGACGGCATACTCTAACAGATCCTGGTGGATTTCCTGCTTAACGGCCATGGCCATCACAACCCCCCGTTCTGAAAAACCTTTACACATGTGGCCGTGTGGCATGCCTTTTTGACAACTCATAACAATCACTCATCATAAACAAAGTCACTTTTTATGTGAGAAAGTGGCCTTAAAAAATATAAAATAGATGTGGAAGTGGTGGACTCACACAAATTGCAGGTGAAGCTGCAGCTCAAGGGGAAAATCCCCTCAGCTCATGAGTTAACGACTTGGCAATTAGTTAATTAGCGAACTCCTGCTGCGGCCCTTGACGTCTTATCCTCTTGATTCCTTTCGGCTAGTCAGTCATTTATCTATGCAGGCAAGGCCAGCCCCGCGGCATCTTGCGGTCAATTAAAACAATCCGCAAAATAATTGCCAAGAAATTTATTCGCTTCATTAACTTGTTCAGCGAAGTCAGCCGGAGATGAACGGACAGGCGAGTTAAGCGAACGAAGTCAGCCAGAAAATTAAGTGAAATAATTAAATCTCAATCGGGATCTATTAGATTTGTGTAGCCTTTGGCATTGGCTTTCGGCCACGGCCCTTGTCAGCAGTCGAGGGATGAACACACAAATAAATTTGGCAGGACGGCAGCTAATCTCCCAGCAAGGGGTTAGCGTTGGCGTTAACGATGACGATGACGATGGGGTTGAAAGGACCAGGCCGGTCCGGTCCAGTCCAATCCGGGATTTGAAAGTGCAACAATCGCTGGGCTAAAGAAGGGAACCCCGCTTTTCGACGCTGACAACGACCATTTATCACCCACGCAGCATCTTTCATAATCAGGCTGGCCTGGTCGGCAAAATGCAAATGACTCAGTCTGCGGCGTAGCTGCATATAAAGGACCCGGCCGCGGCTTTTAATTTACAACGTCCTACGTCCTACGTCCTACGTCCTACGTCCTACGGCACATGTATCTGTATCTATACGTGCAACCGGGTCCACAGAGTGGGTCTCTGAGCCACAGCCGCCATCTTCGCCACAATGCCAGACAAAAGGTCGACACGTTCCCATTCCGACCGACTTAATTAATTTATGCACTCATGGTCGGTCGCAATGCATCGCGGGGTCTCTTTCGGGAAAGGGGAAAGGGAAAGGGGACTGGGGAAAGGGGTTTTGGGATGGAGTAACCAGGGGTTTGGGATGGCCAGTTTAGTCGGTCTTCAGCCAAAGGTGGACATCATTTCTGGGGCTCTCTCTCTTCTTGAAAACCCGCCTAATTTTAAAATTAATGAGCGGCATCTTGATGGCCGATGGCAGCGATAAGCCCCATGATTTTGACTGTCCCAGAGATCCACAGAGAGCCCACGTCCCTGCCGCTCGATCACAGCTTAAGTAAATCACGTGTTTATTGGCACTTCACTTACGACACCGTCACCAGAGTATAGGAGAAAAAACCGAAGCCACGGACCGAAAAACCAAAACCAAAACGAAAACCAAAAACCAAAATGGCATCACTCTATAGGGCCTGCACTCTATATTGCCCCGGTCCGATCGGTTGGGATCGAGGCATCGGGATCGGGATCGAGGAATCGAGGAAACCGGACCGACTGACCAACGTCATTAATTAGCTGGCCGTGAAGTGTGGGGAACGAATGGAAACCGACGTGTTTATTTGGTTTGTATGCCCGTTCAACAGCCCAAATGTATTGGGGCTTCATTTAGGAGTTCTTTTGTTTTGAAAACTTTTGCCGCTCGGTACAGGGAAGCCTCGAATATGAGACAGACAATGTTTCACTTACAGAAAGTTTTGTAGTATTTATAACTAAACCGACTCTATTTTTCTATTATTGTATTATTGTTCATTTTAAGAAAATTAGCTTAATGTGTAATAAAAATGGTTTAGTTAATTTATTTGACTCTAGGATTTTATCAAGATTTTTTAATGGACTGTTATTTCTTAAAGTTATTTAAATGGCACAAATATAAAAATCAAATTGACCACATTATCTGATTTAATTATCTTGAAGTAAATGCTATAAAAATACTGCTTTAAGTTATCGTAAACTATAATACTACTTCTAATACTACTTAATACTACTAATTAACACTACTTCTAAGTGTGAAGGCCCATAAATATTTTATTAGGACCTCGACTTCGAGTCATCACTGTAGCCAGCTCGTTGTGTCATTTATTTTGTTTGACCGGAAACTCTTTATCTTACGGTGAATCTTCTTGATATTTCAGATGTGGAAAGCCCAAATGCCGATGCATTCTTGATTCGTGACATTAAGACAAAAATAAACTTGATTTTGGTATGAAATTGATTCATTCATTTTCAATCCATTGAGTAAGATTCTTATCCGATGGATGAGTCGGGCCAGCCTCAGCACTTCCAACTGTGTGCACATCCAACAGGTAGTCAAACCAGACAAACTGTCTCCACTTGGCAGCGGATTCTTTTCCTCCTCTTTGCTCTTAAAAATCGTAAGCATACATGGATTTTCAATAGAGGTAAGCATATAATTATATAATTAATGATTTCTTTTTATTTCTAGACATGTACTAAACAACACTAAAAAATTACACTTTCTAGGGAAAGGAAATATATAATGTTGTGCATTGGATGGAACAAGTTTTTCCCTGAGAAATTCAGTTGTTTGTAAGTCAGAATCAAATTACTTGATATTATTATTAAAACACATTATTTTTTAGTTTACCAAGAACAATCCAGACTGTATGGGTGCTATGCTGAATATATACGGTTTGTGTATCATTTTAGTATTACAAAATGTTATTACAAGCATTCATAAAAATTTGTATTTACAGAGCGTCCTATCTTCTTCTTCATCTGCCATTTGATTTCTTATGGACCAGCTGGAAACGATTGGAAATAAACATTTAAAGTTATAAATAATTATTGTAATGTACATAATTATCACTGTAATACTGTTATAATTCTGGTTCTTATCAATATGGCCAAATAAGATATTGTTATAAATATATTTATGTTTCTAATTGGATTACTTTTTAAAGAGCATACATTCTTGTTAAGAGATCTGAAAAGAGAGTTGCAATTATTTTCCTTTATTGCTAATATAAAACGAGATTTTCCTTTTTTAAAATTTGTTCAATACAAATTCAAGTTTTGAATATATGTGAATTCAGACTTCTCCAGGGAAATAGTGTTATGTTTTTGGTCTGTTAGAATTACTTACAACGATATCTGGGTAAATCAAAAAGTAATAAAAGTAATAGTTTATGCCATTTACTTCTGGGCATCATTTTGGGCAGAAATATGTGAAAAATAAAACTTAAACGTTAAGAGACCCAAATGGAAATAGTATTAAAACAAAACCGCATTATAAAAAAATATAAATATATAATGCAAGTCATATCTAGACTTCCAATTTTGTTAATAAAATCTGTTAGAACGGAGTATCGAATAGAAAATATAGTTCCAGGATTATTTCTAACAAAATACGTACAGTATTATAATATTTTTTTTGCCTTACATTAAATAACTATTATATTTTATCAGACAAAAAACATTCCAAAATCGTTGTCTTTGATCTTGAATCAACTAAACACGGCTTACTAGAATTGGTTATGTAATACATATTAGTCTCAGGAGTATTCTAAATTGAAGAGCCGTTAAATACATTTAATTTTTATTCGGAAACGCATTAGCAAACGATACATAAAACGAATTAGACGACATTATAAGAAACAAAATTATTATTTTAAGATCAATACACCTAGATCTAAGATAATTAAAAATATTACACTTTTTCGAATCGTATATTATAACATTATCTTAGACAACATATTTTTGGTTAGTTGTCTTTTTACATTATATGATTGAGATAAAGCAGAGCAGTATAATATGGGTTTTAATAGTCTGATAATCTGATATGCCTTCCATAGAATATTTGCGCAAAGAAAGCTTTTAGCTTTATAACATCCTTATCCATAAATGGGTTTCATTAGCCAAACTCAGCTTGCCACACTGTTATTCATGTTTTTTCTATTATATTTTTTTAGATAGTCAAAAAAATGTAGATTAACAATAAAACTACATACTGTTTTGCAGAATTGGGCTATTTTTATACTTATTTATTAAGATTCATTAAATTCTAGACGATCACGCATACGCCACTACTTAAAACTTGTTCAGCCCAAAAGTATGCAACATTTTTTGTAATGCATTTTGTAAAGCATACTTATATGTTTAATTATTGCCAGATACATATTGACATTCAACCGCATATGTTGTGTATGTATGAAACCAGTTTATGTGTTGTATTGGTTGTGTAAATTTATTTGATTTTATTAATTGCTAATCAATTCAATGCTTCAAAAGGAGTCCCCTGATTAATCTTAAGACACACGAAATGAAAATAATTATCTATGAGTTTCCCAAAAAATACCTTTATTACAAAATTAAAAGGTTACAAATAACATGTATGAATAATTTAGAAACTAGCTGATCGTATTTGCACTTCTGCTTATATAAATAAATACGCATAAATGTCCTTTAAATAAATTTGAATTTGGATAAGATTTAGTAATTTAAAATAAGTGAATTATACAGTGGGCGTTAATACTAAATCGTATAATAAATCGTATTTGCCATATATCTTGAACCTTGAATATTTAAAAGACAAGCAATTTGTGAACGAACAATACTTAATCACCTTAATATCCACTATAAATTTGATCCAGTTATTGTGCATTGTTATAAGTCATAATATCGCAGGCCAAGCTCGGGCCGATAAAGGACGGCTGGGAATATATTTATTGTTTTCCGCTCACTACCTGAATACGAATTAGCATCGCAACCATCCCCCGTCCGCCCCGGCCAGCATATATATACATATATACGAAAGTAATGTCTTGAGCAGTCGCCGGATCGTGCCCCATAAATCATGCCAAACTGAGTTCGGGTATAGAAAGTCAAAGTAAACTGCCATCACTTAAAGTCATTCAAGCATTTATTTATGTCAAAACATTGTCCGCTTAGCTGCTGCGAACCTTTTGGCAGAGGAACCCAAAGGGTCAGTTGGCCAGTCGCATGTATAACTCAATTAAAGGCGGCTGTGTGCTCACCTCGCAGCGGGGTGTCGGCGCATTAGCCACTCCTCCATATCTATATATCTTGGTCCTCGTCCTCGTCCTCCGAATTGTCTTTAACTGCTAGACGATCGCACAATGCTCCTGCGGCGATCGGGGTCATTGCGGTTTTCGGGACCGTCTCCCCGGAATCTGCAGGACCAGATAGCCGGGTGACTAGACTGCATAGATGTCATTAGAAACCCGGCACCGATCCTCAATGAAATCGCCTCGCTGCAGCGGGCTTGTCTTTATTATCTGGGACCGGGGGATTCTCGATTCTCGATTCTCCTATTCCTGTTCCTGTGTGGCCCGCATCCGCAATCGGATCGCACATTTTGCCCACGACCGACCTCCAAGGGCCCTCAGTACATGATTCTGTTTAACGAGAACAATGTTCTTACAGTCCCAACCTTGGCCACACCGCAGTGGCTTCGTTGGCGATCGCCTTTATTCGCAGTTTCTGGGGCAGATCGGGGAGGATCGGGTCGCGTCCGGATGAGGGGTAACAACTACACGATGGCAGCGGATCGTGCAAAACTACAGCGATGGGTTGGCAGGTGGCGCCGGCGCCGATTTCAATTTGAATATGAAATGGGAGAAGGGCCAATGGCTTGCAAATTTGTATTGTCCCAATCCAGGCAGAAGAACATACAGTATGGCTCACTTCAAAACACTTTGAATACGAAAATAACATATATTAAATATTTTCCTGTGCAAAGAATGACAAAGTAAATACGAAAGTGTACAACTTAAGCCAATTGCGTTTCAATTGCTATTTAAATAAAATAATATTATTTAAATAAAAAACAAACAATAATCCTGGAACTTTTAATCCGTTAAATTTAAGACAAGATACTAAAGAATATTGTAACTTATAATTAGCAATTCTTTTAAAAGGAATATTTATTACAATTTTAATCAGTGGGAACTAAAATAATTTTTTGCTAAAGACCTAAACGTTTTTTGCTCAGTGATTTAAAGGAATACAAATCCCATGTTTACCTACTTAAAATATTTGCTTGGCCAATACAAGCGTCATTCTGATAAGTATACCTTATTTTGGGTTGCTAATACTTTCATGGCTATTTTTGTAAGGTGTGATTTTAAATACATTGTTTAATTAGTTCTCCTCCAAAACAGTAAGATCGTTATCCGCTTGTTAATTTTATCACTAAAGAGACATTTCTAAATGTGACATTCAATCCTTATTCCGGTCCAATCGAATGTGCCTTGACAATGAATCTAATGTATACAATCGTGAGTACACACTTCCTTAAATGGCTATATAAATGTCTATCCAGGAAGCTAAGGATTAACAGCCGACGTTTGTAGCGACACGCCCCCGAAATAAGTACAGTAGCATAGTTAATATGTAATCCCCGACACGTGGAGTAAATTATGTTCCTTGAAGGGCTGTTATTAGGCGGAGTGCGTCTTGGACACTCCCCACAATCGATGGTGATGCACCATAAAATAGAATTGGGGTGGAAATGGTGTGACATGGATATAGAAAATCAGATGTCCTTTTTTTTCTTTTGTTACTGATAGGGTTTAAATAATGATCCTTATTAAAAATACTAAGGCACTATAATTGTAAAGAGCTTTGAAAGAAAACTTGCATACTTTTGGGATTTTTTTTTTTTTTTTTTTTTTTTTTTGTTTATTATTATTTATTTATTATTTGATTAGCGCACTGCTACTCAATTGGCAACTTAATCTAATCAGTCTTTAATATAATCGGTTTCATTGGGTCTTCTTTGTTGCTTAAGACTAATAATTTAACCTAGACATTTTAGGGAGAAATATTGCTGTTGTTGTTATTGATGATGTTTAAGTCAAAACCCGGTCAGGTAGGTCTTGAGGGTGGTGTCGCTTTAGTCTTCTTTTGACTCTTGTTCGAGGGTCAGCGTTATTAATGGCAGCAGTTCCAAGTTTCCTGGCTAGGCTGTTGGGGTGCTCATTTAACCTTTCCATGTACTTCCGAGCAAGTTCCTGCAGCTTGTCTCCAAGTTTGGGCACATTGAGATCACGTTCGATGTCACTGGTTCGCATAAACCACGGAGCTCCAGAGATCCTTCGAAGTGTTTTCGCTTGCAGAACCCGGATTTTGTTGAGGTTGGTTTTTGCAGCGATGCCATAAACCTGGAGTCCATAGAAAAGAGTTGGCGCTAATATGGATTTATAAATTTGGACCTTACAGCCAAGTGCGAGCTTGTTGCGTGGAGCGAGAAGCCAAGCCATCCGAGAAACTTTGGTCCTGTAAGAGTGTTGGATACAAGTAATGTGCCTGCCAAATGTTAGTTTTTTGTCCAAAGTGACACCAAGGTACTTGTATGCAGGAAGGGCTCTGATTGGACTTCCGTTGAGGCTGACTCCAGGGCAGCTACTTCGACAATTGGTGAACGTTACATTGGCACATTTGTCTGCGTTTACTCGAATGTTCCAGTTCATGGCCCATTGGTGAAATGCGTCCAGATATTGTTGCAATGCAAATGTGGCAGCCAATATACTTTTGCTTTTTGTCAGGACAGCAGTGTCATCGGCGTAGGTCGCAATTAGCACGTTTTGTTCAGCAACTTCAGTGATTGGAGATTGTGTAGGCATATCTGAAGCATAAATACTGTAGAGAGTAGGGCCGAGGACGCTACCTTGGGGAACTCCGGCAGAGATCGGTTTGGTTGACGACTTGTACCCATCAGCAGATACGTGGAAAGTGCGTTCTTCCAGGAAGCTTTTCACGAGCTGGAACAGCTGTGGCGTAAAAAGACTTTTGGCTTTGTACAGGAGCCCAGGGTGCCACACTCTGTCAAAGGCCTGCTGGATGTCAAGGAAGGCAGCAACTGCATACTCCTGCTTCTCTAGGGCTTCTAAAGCAAAATTGACAACTCTGTGCAATTGCTCAGGAGTTCCATGTTGAAGACGAAAGCCGAACTGAAATTCCGGGATCGCACTGGTGACATTCTCGTAAGTGAGCAGCCTATTCAGGATCAGCCTTTCCATGATTTTTCCCAGGCCTGGTAGAAGACTAATGGGCCTGTATGAGTCCACGTCAGTCGGCGATTTACCTGGTTTTGGGATCATGATTATACTCGCCGATTTCCAAACTTTCGGGAAGTATCCAAGAGTTAGTATGCTGTTGAATAATGACACCAGGAATTGCAAGGCTTGATCCGGTAAAAGTCGAATCGTTCTGTTGTCGAGCAGGTCTTCACCGGGAGTTTTCTTCGGTGAAAGTTTAGCTACAAGGTCTTTAACCTCTGTCAGTGTGACAGGGCTAGCAGGCAGGCTCATTTGAAATGGAGATTCTAGAAACTCATCAACTTGTCGACGTATGCTTTCAGGTGAATAGTCGTAAGGCTTGAAACGTTGCTCGAGGTTGTTAGCGAACGCTTCAGCTTTCTCTAGGCTCGTACGGCACCAGCCACCTGAGGGATTCTTAATTGCTGACTTTGGGGTGGGCTGAGCCTTGTACCGTTTTGTGATACGCCAGAGAGAGTAGTTAGAACTAGCGTCTGTGCCCAGATTATCCAAAAAGCTGTCAATAGATTCTCGTTTTCTTCGGGCGAGCGCCTTGCTTAGACAGTTAGCAAGCCGTTTATGTATCTGATGCATTCGAGCGTCTCCCGTTCTTGCATATTCTCTTCTTACTCTTCGCTTTAGGTTGAGAAGTGCCGCAATTCTGTGTGGTAGCTGGAGATGTCTAGAGGTCTCTGTATTTTGGCGATTCCCAGGTGCAGCTATCTCAGCAGCCTGGTTTATCATGCGCATGAAAAGGCTGATGGCATTGTCAATGTCAGAAGGTTCCTGGGCTTCTATGTTAACCTCGCTCAGCTGCTCTAGGTAGGCTTTGAATGCATTTGTATTAGCACCTCTGGGAAGGAGTTGCGTGCGCTGTGGTTTTTTCACTGGTGTGGCATGCAATCTGGCCAGGATTGGAGTGTGGTCCGAGGAGAGTTCATGGAGTGTTTTTACTTCTAGCCTGTTTATAGCGTATCCGTTGATTATGAAAAAATCAAGCGCTGTCGGTGTTATCAGGGGGTTGTATGAGTAAAAAGTGGGTTCACCTGTGGCAAGTACTTGGTAATGCCCATTTGCAATGACATCTTGCAACTGTTTACCCCTTCTACAGGCTCTTGAGTTTCCCCACCATGCATGTTTGGCATTATAGTCACCGCCAGCAATAAATTTGCTTCCAAGTCCGGCCAGCAAGGACTCAAATTCTGATTGGATCCATCTTTCTGCTGGAGGTAGATATATAGCTGCTAATGTTACATTTCCGTCTGCAGTCTGTAATTGAATGCTCGCTATCTGCCTGTCATTGCTAGAGGCGGCGGGCAAGGGATTATGGCTTAGGGAATCCTTTATAATGACTGCAGAGCCACCTTTGCTGTTGCCACTAGGGTGATAAGCATGGTATATAAGATAGCCTGGCAAGTAGATGCGCTGACCATCGCGCATGTGAGTTTCTGTGGCAAGCATTACATCTATGTTATGATCGCTGAGGAATATTCGAAGCTCTTCAGATACTCTGACTAATCCACGAGCGTTCCACAATCCGATATTTAATTCTGATTGAATCATTTCGGCAATCGCGCAATGAGAACGTGAACCAGCTCTCTGAAAGCCTTGTTGGACTCAGCATTTTCCTGCATCAGCTTAAATAAAGTGTCCAGTTTGCTATTAATGTCGCGGATGGCATTATCTAACGCTGTGAATTTAAGGGTGAGCCTAGGGTCTGAAGGAGAGCTTGCGTCACTCTGCGAGGTTGAGCCAGTCCTTGCTTGCATATCCTTGGGTCGAGCTATATCAGCATACGATATATTCGTTCTTAATGCCTGAGCTGGTATGAATCCACGCGATACGCGTCCTGGATCATTTGTTACCGGGAGTCTAGGCCTCGGCTTTTGTTTTTTATTTTTTTCTAATCTGACCGGGCAATCTTTATCTGTCGAGACGTGGTTACCGCCACAGTTTACGCACAAGCATGTATCGCTTACACAGAGTGTGGAACCAGTAACATGAGAACCACTACATTTACCACAAACAGGGTCCTGAACACAGTAGTTTTTAGAATGTCCAAAAATTTGGCATCTTTGACATTGAAGTAATTCTTTTCTACGGGGTGCACGCTCGACAGTGACTCTGTATCTCCCGAGTTGCGTAATTTTTAGGGACTCTGCGACGTTTGCACCCTGCTTAAGGTTGATATAAAACATATTCTGCCTAGTTTTATAATTTACTGTAGCTTCATTATCATCTTCGTTCACCTGGATGTTCTTCCAATCAGTCTTTTTGGGGCAGTATATGTTAAGTACCTCAAAGCCCAATTCAGTAAATCCCTGTGTTATTTGAGATTTCGGAACGTTTGTATGGAGTCCTTTCAGAACTACTCTGTAGGCCTTGTCTTCTTTTAACTGATGGTGCCAAAATTTACACTTAAGAGTTGTCAGTGTTTTTACAGCTAGCCGAAAAGCGTCTGAGTTGGCTGTATATATTCTGGATACACCAAATTTGGAAGTGCGGATGTTGTAGTTTTTGGAGCCAATGCTAAGGTCAAGAGATTGTTCCAATAAGACCGGATCGCTTACGTTCGGTACACAAATAGCAGGGATCTTGTTAGATTTTGTAGGCTGTCTATCTCCATTGGGGGCATCAGACTCATCATTGTCATCCAACATGTCTTGCTCCATACTTTCCGCTTCAGCAGCCAGAATCGCAAAGCGATTGTTTCCGAATGTCGGTGCAGCGGATGTAGAGGCCGCCTCATTGGGAGTCGCAGTGGCCTGCCGTTTAGTTTTGCGAATCGGAGGAGGAGACAGGACAGGTAAAGGGGAGTTAGTCACTCCTTTGCGTTTCCTATTAATACTCCGATTGTCTGCTTGAAAGATGCATTTTGTTAAATTATTGTCAGACATAGTTGGGTAAATGCTAGGTGCCACGATTGCAGACCCAGTGTATGTTGGAGTACAGACCGAGCTTGCCTGGACGTTGGAGATGGTGCAGGTTACACTTGTAGTGGCGTTGCTGCTGATTGCCACCAACGAGGAGGTCGTTGCTTGTGTTGGCATACCTGCGAGTAAAGCAGTTACATCTGTACGCTTAGCGCGGAGCTGGCAGCGTATTTCTTCAGGGTCTGCATCAGCTACTTTCCTCATCTCCTCAAACTTATCACATCCATTACTGGGGCGCAATTGAGCAGGTAAATTCTCCATTATATCGGACGATGTAAGTCTGAGAGACAGGTCGATGACAACCTCTCGCTCGCGCAGACGCGCAGGGCGAGGGGCAAAGCACAAAACAGCTTAAAACTTGCTTATTGTTATAAGAATCGCGATAAAATACCGTCACCGCTCAGCAGTGACTGCAGATAAACTTCGTGTGCAAGAAAAGCCCACGAGCCAAGAAGATGTTTAAAAAACACAAAATATAATTTAGGAGCTACACGTGGATTTCTACCAAGCTGATTGCCATTCACAACGAAACTATACTTTTGGGATACACATTTTACATAAACACCTGCCTAAGCAACCTAATTATTTACCTTATTAAATAAATGGAAATTCAATTTATTTAACAACATGTACAGAACTTTTAAAGTAGATACAATGATGCCCTAATCTCATTCCCACGTTGTTAAATCTCTAAAGTAGCCAGTGTGGCAATGGACATAACCCATAAATATTTTTATGTAACCTACATTTTTAAAAGGGCATGACGAAATCGTAACGTAAGACTTGTCCCTTCGGTCAAGATTCATTGTGAAACTGGCGCCATTCAATGTGATTTCTCCTCGCAGTCCTTTTGCCTCTGATAATTGTTTCTTATCGGCGAGACAGTTGTGAATGACAATTTTTGGACAATAGCTCGGCTGTGGGTCGTCAACGCGGCACCGTCGCCAGCGGGGGCTTTACATATATATATATATGGTTATAATTGCCGTGCAGGACCGGATTACACGACAGGTCGACCTGTCTACAGCCACTGCCCATTGCCATTGCCCATGCCCCTTTCCATCGCCGCGTATCTGTTACACAGAGTAATGGTCGTAATGTCGCACAAGTATCTTTAAGATGCATTCGATATTTCAGAATGAACTACCTGCCTGGATGTCCCATTCCCCTTGATATTTTCCCTCGTCCATCGTCGAGTCAACAGCAAAAGGGCTAGTTAATCTGTGCCGACCTCGATAACGTTTTAGTGCTCAATTTTGATTCTACGCCCTTTGTGGTTTGGGTCTTTACAACTGTTTATGCCTTTTATGATTTTGTCGTGGCCGTTTCGTATCGTTTCGTTTCGTTTTGATTCGTTTCTGGTGCAAACCTTTTGCTTTTGGGCTTGGTCATCGGTCGGTCGGTCGGCCTGGCCCAAAGTGAATCTGGCAAGCCCTCGCCATCGAGTGGGTCCTTAGCTGCGTCGTTATGGCTGTAATTTAATATCCTAGCTGGCATTGGACTTTTGTTTAATCATGACAGCCGACCGACTTACTCGCCGGACACACAGTGGTTATCGACGAATGCCATTGGCGTTACGCCGCTCCGTGTTTCACACTTTTGCCCTTGGTCTTGTTTGGGCCCACTGTTTCGGCTTGTTTTGGCCGGGTTCGTGTGCGCGGCCATTAAGGTTTCCCAAATGTCCAAGCCCATCCGATCCAAGCCGATCCGATCCAAACCGATCCGATCCAAACCGATCCTATCCAAAAGCCGAGAACCTTCCCATTTCGGCGCTCATTTAAATATTTTATCATCGCCGCGCTGGCAAGACACTAAAGAGAACTTTATATCTTTTCGGTTCGCTACGTTTTTATCACTCGAATGAACAAAAACATTTGTTACCAATCAGAGTTCTTAATTTTACGGCCTGTGTTTGCGACAAAAGTGCCGCTTCTTGCCCCCAGACACTGGACTCGATCGTTTGTCGGCTTTGTCGCAGAAATTAGCCGCGTATTCCTTTAGAGCTTGTACGAGCCCTGCCCCGGTATCTTAATTGGCTTTGATGCTGCGATGGCTTTTCATAAACGTCAGGCCGGACATCTCCCAGTCCACACACTCGTATAAACATCGGCCAGCCATCGGGGACTCAGCTCAGCTCGACGGAAACTGGAAACTGGTATCTGGGAATGGAAAACAAACACATGTGCTTAAGAGATAGCTAAATTATTTTAAAGCTCATTTACTTATGTACATCCAGCGACACGGGATCGGGTTGCAATCACTTTTCGATGGTTGAGTGGCTCGGGCAGCGTCCTTTTACTGCAGACCAATTCAGGGAAATGTATACATGAAAGGAGAAGTCAATGAATTATTAAGGAGTTCCTAATTCGGAGTCGGTATATAAAGCATTAACAGACCTTTAACACAAATTGTTAATGATTGAGTGGCGAAATTAGGGTCCTTCTACTAAAAAGGGAAGACGTACTTAATTACAATTTGTAGCTATGCTTACTTGACTAAATAATACATTCAGATTTCTAAAAAGAGAAAAATTAAGATAATTTTGAACTTGATCTTACAATTTCACACTCTAAATATTGAATGATTTATTTGATTTTTTTTAATGATACTGTTAGCTTATAACAATTAAATAATTCAAATCAAAGTTAGCCCAAAATGTTTCAATGTTTGATAGATCAGTAATTAGAGAAAGAGAATAAAATAAATAAAATAAAAATAAAAGTTCCTACAGGTAAGTTCATTAATCATCTTAGAATATACTTTAAGAATTGAATATTTGGAGTTCATATTTTAAATTCGTTTTACTTCAGAATTTTACCTTATGTTCAATACCCTAATTTGGCAAGCTCACTCACAACTACCAAAAACAAACATTTCAATTATTTATGAGGGGCTATTCTTTGGGAAATAAACAAAATAAATAGATGCAAGCGCACACACAGAGAAATTGCAACAATTGACAAATTGCGGCATATAAATTTCCCCCACTGAAGCGGAGAGATGTCAAACTGTCTTTTGACCATGGATAATATGTAGAGCGTTGCCTTTGTCTTTCAAATTATGTTAACTAGCCGAAGAATCGATCGTAAGGGTACTCGGGGCAAGGTATAATTTATTCATGTGTCAAAAACGGACTGTCCATTTAAATGCGAGCAGTTCCCAATTCTATATGGGTATATGGATATATGGATACAGTGCAATGTCAAGCGAGGGGAAATGAGGATGAGTGGAGGGAAACGCAAATAAAACGCAGCATATTGGGAAAATTTCACGGTCTTTTGGCCGCCAGCTAACCAACTGGTCAACGGTCGTTGGCCAGGGGCTAATTTATAGGGCGATGCGGTGGGTGTTTGTCCGTTTGTCCGTTTGTTTGTCCACTTCCCGTCCCCTGTCCATATTTTATTCCATTTCAGATTCAATTTACGGCGGGGGAGTGGAATGGAGTGGAAAGGGAGACAGTGCGTGAGGGCCAGGTAAATTGAAAAATGGACATTTGTAGTTTGATACCCATTTGGAGTAGGACAAGGGCTATCTATCTATATGGCCAAGGGTACTCTGCAAGTGGTTGATCAGGGTCGACTTTTCGGCTTAGATAAGCTGCTGCTGCCGCTGCTTTATACTCTGTGTTTCCCCCCAATATCTCGACAGTGACAGACGGCAAGCAGGGGTTAAAGTTAGGGGTTGCTTTTGCTGATGGGTCGTCTGCTGGTTGTTCGTTTTTCGACATGCAGATGTGACGGGCGCGGATTTGTTTCGTGTATCTTTGCGACAACTTGATTTTTTGTCAACGCAATGCGATGCGCTTTTCGGGGAAATCCTTTTAGTCCTGATGGGCCCGCCGTTCGCGAGTGCATTTGACACTTTGTACTTGATGGATTACGTTAATTATTGATTAAATGGGCTTGTACTTGTCAGGACAAAGTAAAATCCATTAGATATTTGAATATGGCCGTGGGTCCGCTGTGCCAAAATTAGAATTAAATTTTTTGGGACTTTATAATTTGACATGAACGGGCGCGCATTTGATGGATGTTCTGGGATATGTATGGCCAATAAAAAGTAAAAAAAACTGTGAGAAGAGGGTCTTGCCGCGGTGACATTCCGCTGCTGTCGCCTCCAAGCGCCAGTCCCTCGGCACACACACCTTCCTCGGATACAGATACTCTGTAAATGGGATGCATCTGGGGATACGATCCGATCCGATCCGATCCGAGGTCCGACGAACGGTGGACACGCACTAAAAAGCCGGCTGCGGCGATTCAGATTGAGGAGATAAGGAGCGGCGGGCTCTTTAAGAGATGCCGCGTCGTTATTTTTCGGTTGTCGCTTCATCTGCTCTGATTAATTCCCTCTGATGAAATGCCGCTCCCCAGTCACCAGCCACTTGATGCTGCGTATTCTCGTACAGTTGTGGTTAAGGTGATAGCAGCCTAGCCAATCCTCAATGATTCGGTAAGTTTTTCGTCCCCAATTTAAACGGTCATTCATTCATGATAACTTGACACTTTAAACCCAAGGAAATCCTCCATTTGCGCTTTTTTTTTGGCATCGCCATTTAAAAAAATGGCAACCAAATTGGTCAAGTCTTAAGAATGGTAGTGTTACTGCTAACATTGTCCGAAGAATAATAAAATGATAGGGCCGACTAAATTCAAGAATAATTATTCGCATATTTTGTACTTGAACTTGCTGACATTGTTCATTAATTAAATTTGTATTGAGTGATTAAAAGCCTAAGTCAATTATCAATTTAAAGTTTCCCAGAAACTCTGTAATTTTTTTGTCTGATAATTTTTAATTAAGTTTGCCACTGTTTATACTCACTATTAGAAGTTCACTTCATTCAGTTTCCTCGATTTTCAAATTATAAAATGTACATTTAAAGATGATACACCACTATTATGTTAACCACAGCTGTGTATCGCTGCGGTGGGCACTTGGCACTTTCAAATGGGGAACTTCGATTTATCGGCATTTCGCCGACAGCGCCGCCATTTTGGGCAAGTAAGTAGGTGCAGCTTGCCAAGTTGCATCTGTGAAAGCGGTTCAAGTTTCCCTCCCGAGCTTTTTCGGGGACTTCCGGAAGCTTTTGCGCAAGCACTGCACACGGTCCCGATAGTTCGACTTTTCCAACTGCATATGGTCGGGAAAATTACTCGAAAAGCGCGCAGTCTCTTTGACTTTTCGTGGAAAACTCACCAACTTGGCACAGCTGGCTAATCAGCACAAAATTCCCCGACCCACCCGAAATTTCCCACTATTTTCCCCCACCATAAAGTCCCAAGCGCTTCCGTTATTTTGGCTCCGCCTGTTAAAAAATGGCTGCGCATTTATCTGCGGCCTGCGCTGTATTGGAGCAAGCGAGATGGCTAGAGAAAGGCAGTCGTCTCGCTCGCACCCGGTTCTCTTTTCCCCTCAACGAATACAAACACGATAGAGTAGTAATACCACATACACTGGTTTATTTTTTTTTCATTTTTTTTCACTCTGCTCGTAATCCGTGCAAAACTTTAATTGGTGTTTTGCACTTCTAATGGATCCTGGGAGTGTATTAGACCCGAATCGTAACAGAAAGAGACATTTGTATACACTCGAAATCGCTCGAAACACATGTAAATGTGTGCGCACGTAACCGGGGGTTAAGTGTTCAAAGCCCAACAACGCCAATATTGATCTGCGATATGTGTCACTTTACGTTGCAGATTTACGGGCCCAAAGCGGCGGTTTTTGAGATTGGTTGAGCAAATCGAATCCGTCAATTCAAAAGTGTGCGGCTTGACTTTATTTTATTCACTGTTTATAAAGTGCCTTTTAATTTGGTTTTGTCCCTTATTGAACATTTGATAAATAACAGAAATAGTTACTTATTAACAAACACAAAGTTGTTGTAAAATCAGAAATTACAAATTGAAAAGCCAAAGGACCAAAGGCCAATTTAAATATATATTTTTTATATAGTTCTAAAACATATTTTAGCTAGATTTCCTTAGCAATCACTTTAAAAAATATAATTCCATACAGATACTGATATTTGATAAGAGATTTAACACATGGTTTAACACATGAAATGTTTTATCTCAGCTCAAATAAAGCATTTAAAAATTAAAGATATTCCCTAATATACTAACGAAAAATTTAAAACATTCTGATACTTATTTTTTTTTACCAATTTGCAATCCCAAAAAAGCTAAGAAAAGGCATTCATGGATAAAAACGCATTTAACCATAATATGAGATATTAAAGAAAATATTATGATGAGCGGAAAAAGTTATTGCGGCATTAGGATTTCTTTGAGGCTTACCTTATTAAGAATAAGGGATGAATCCATGCTTTAAATTAACCAATTTATTTCTCCACCAACGCACATTTTTTATAATAAGGCCCATATTATTTCGGAATACAAATTAACTTGTTCGGAGCACACTCTAAAAATAGAATTTAATTGCTTCACTTCAAAGCGAAACAAATTGTTTGTGTCGCGACATTGGATGTTGGATAATTCATTTTTATTAAGAAGAGCTGTCACTTAAAGAGGGCAGACTTATCCAAATGTATTGATATTCCAGCAGGGGAAGATATATTTGTTCTGAATATTGTGAACGACAGCTTGCTCTGCGGATTTTTTGACTTTTCGAAGAATGGGCTCTGTCAATTGAAAATCAAAGTAAAGTAGAAATAAAGTAAAAAACTGTATTTCGTTTGAGGTCATGAAAGTCATCGCTTTATTTAAATAATAATAAAATGTTTATTAGTAGTCTGTATTTCCAATGAAATGCAATTTTTTAATAAGATTTTTGTACATTATATGGAAATAAAGATAAGATAAGATAAAACAAGAAAAGTATGAAAACTTGTTGTAAGGAACATATTTTTCGGAAATTAGGTTATATGTAAATAAATATTAATTTATGCCAACCGTGTAAATTTAAGATATAAATCGCGCTGGTATAATCACTTGAATACATAAATACAAAGATGAAATTGGTATTGCCTCTTGATTTGGTAATAGGTAACCCAATAAATATATTTCTTGTTATAAACTACAAAATAATATAAAATACATATGTAAATGACCCAAGGCATGCAAATTCAAAGCTATAAGCTCTTTTCCATAATCACCATTTATAAATTATAAACCGAACTATGGAAACATAGCTAATAGGCTGTATGAAGTTTCCTAAACATATAAATGTGTACACATGTTCCAGCAGGTGTGGTCCTTCGCAGTGTTTACACGATACGCACACAATCTGCGACATGTGCCCGAAAAGCCAATCCTTGTCACACCGCCTGACATTCTGTTGGAACAGTGGTAAATCAGAACTAATTTCAAAGCCCAGCTCATCAGATCTCCGCCCAACCGCTGAGGTAAGTGGTGGAGTGTCTGACCGGGAGACAACCAACGGAATAGACACCTCTGACCCGCACCTTGAACCCCCCTTCCCCTATCCCAAAAGAACATGCTTCAAAGACTGCTATTTAAAGTTTCAAATTTCGGACATTTGTCCGTCACGACCCCAACCGACCGGCAAGAACGGTGGTTGAATGGCCAACACTCGCCCAGGATAACACACAAGGACACACTGAATACCGGCGATTGGGGGATATGCGAGTATGGATATACGGACAGGCCTAAGACATCGACGTGGAGCGAACCTGGACGATGACATCGAAAGTCCTTGTAGTTAGCAGAATGTAGTTTGTTTGACATCTATTTAAAAGTTTAATCGGATGAGTGTAGTCCGTGCGGTTAGGCTGACCAAAACACAGTGTATTACATAGTCACTGACTTTCCGCATCGCCGCCAGGTGACCGCTCGACCATCGGACAGGTGTTGCAATTTCGGGGATGTCACTGGGGATGGCGGCTGGGAACGTCTATCCTTCAACACTAATTAACGTTGATTCAACGGCTAAAAGGCCTTAACATAGAAACAAAAAGAGGATAGAACATTCCCCTAAGTATTATCCCTTTTACTTTGTTATTTTGTTAATTAAGCTTGGCAATCAAATAATACATCCTATGATGGGCAAGTTCTTAAAATTTTTATTCATGGGAAAGGTTTAGAAATACAGATTAAAGATTTTATTATACAATATAAAAATGTTAAATTGATAACTTTTCTTATATGAAAAATAGTACTCTTGTTAAATAATTGCTTTGTGTAATAATTGAGTCAGAATAGAGTTCATGTATTTGTAAATAAGCTATTAAATAAGTAATAAATTTAAAATCCAATTTGCAGTGATTGAATAAACAAGAAACTTGTTCATGTTTTTTTTTTAAACCGATAAAAAAAAGTAGTCTGGATAATAATTGAAGATGTTAAGTTTTTAAAAAGTAGGATATAATCAAACAATGCTTTAAATTATTGACCTAAAAATTTAATAAGGTTTCAATTGGTGAATTTAAAAAATAAAAAATCACATAAAACCCCCCAGACCTTAAAAAGGTTTAAGAAACCACAAAAACATTTCACAGATTAGCAACACACATAATAAAAATGTACAGCTGTTTAACATAGCATCAGAAATAGTGTTCCAAATAAAATCTTGGTTTCTATAAAAAAAAATAAACCCGAATTTTAGTGTACAACCCAAATATGTGATGATTGGGGGATAAGGCGGTGGGTGGATGGGTGGATGGGCGCCTTGATCAGCAGCCTGTCGCCATAGCCACTTCATGCTCGATCGGCCGACGTATCTGTCCATCGCACTTTAATTGCCGTATTCATTCCGAGCGCCTCCGCCGATGGCCATTGGGCTGATAGCCCAATTATGTACAGACACACGGACAGGGAAGAACAGAGCGGAGACCATTGTCTCATCCGGCCAACTGACCACGGCCTATCTATCCGGCCGGTAAGTAATTGTAGGCAAATATTTGTGTTTGCTCTTTGCCGCTATCTGAAGCGGTAACTTGAAATGCTCGAATTTGACACTCTGTCCGAGTATCGGACATCGGCCATCGGACAACGGACAACAGACAAGAGAAGTGGAGCCTCCATGGTCGCTATCAATGGCAACAAAGCCATCCGCCTCCGTTCATGCGAAACTTTTAATTAAATGCCTAATAGATGTTTGTCACTCTTGTGCGCCGATTAATAGTTCGATTTTATTCGGTCTCGTGATCTCCCGTGTCATGTCCATACGGTTGCCAATTAATTTCCAGCTGGCGAGACTTTCAGTCAATGGTTTGGAGCAAAAACGGAATCAGAACCAGAGTTAGAACCACAAATCCGTATTCGAAATGAAACATTCTGCACTTTGAACGCCGTCTGGCGCTGAACAGCGGCTTTCTTTGACAGCGATAAGCCGGCGCCCAGGCCCCTTGTTACCCAAAATTGAATATAATAATATCACGGGAAATATGAATGCATAAGCAGATAAATTTAATTTTCTTAGCCCGGCTGATTGTATCGGCTTAATTAATTGGGAAGTGCAGAAAACGTATCCAATTGCCGGAAGCCTTTCAAGTAATCATCTGACCTGACAACGGTCCTAAATATTTCGATGATGTATATCTAATAAAATATGCTTTAAAACCCTAAATAAACCTTTAATCAATTGGTGGCAAAATACGATAAATGAATACTTTAATTGAATTAATTTGACTACCACCTATATTTATACTTCTTCGTTAAGACGCATAACTCATTGTCAATTTCCGTTTCTCGTTCAGATTGCCTCTTTAAACCTTTTTTTTTTGGATTTTTTATTGGCCTCAGTGCTAAAGCCCAATCTCAGCGTTTTTGGGCTACGGTGTTTATGTACATTTGCATGTGTGTACTTTCGTGGGGGCTTGATCAATTAACTTTGCTGACATCGACACTGCGGAAAGTTCAGCGCTGAGGTTTCATTCAGAAAGAAGTGCAGTTCTCGTTTATTAAATGAGTATGTTTGCTGCTGTGAATTAATTCCGATGACGCAGTTGAAATGGGGTTGGCATGTGGATGTGCCAAAAATAATGGAAACATTTCAGCTGTTCTGTGAACATTTTCTTTTAAGGGTGGAAGATTTTCTCAAATGAAATCTGAATTTATTAATAGGCGAAAATCACATCACCGGATCAAATATGTACATTATTATAATATAGAAAATCGTCAGTGATGGGATGCTAAACAAAATTAGTAAATAGGAAAAGCATAGGCTTTTAGCTTTTGGCATTTA